CACGGTAACGTGAAGTCATTAAGTGTATGTGGTTCACGACAGTGATTTAACACTATGTAACCTTTGCACATTTTTAACGACAGGTGGGTAGTTTGGTTGATAAATCCTAGCCAGCCTCTGTCCACCGATAAAAGGAGGGAAAGTGGGGTCCCTCTATTACCCAGTCAATAGGGTCAAGCTCTCTTGCGTTTGAATCACGCGATCGTTGAACTGCTTATGTATGCACTATTATTCTCGGTCTATGCATTTCAAGGTCGACTGTGCGTCGCACGTATTGGGACACTCGATGTACTCGTAGTTCACCCGCACTCAGCGTCCGTGCCTGTGGCTCATATGGGGGCTTGTTTATTTTCAAACTTCAACGAACACAAAATGAGCACCTGGTGTCAGATGTCAGTGAATTATATCACTGCGCACAACCACAAAACCTAAGAAATTTAAGGAATTGACCAAAAAAATTCTTCATAAGATTTAGTCTCCTTCCTGAGAAGGACGCAATCCTATTGGAAACGGCGAAATCACTGCGAAATATGAACCCAAGGCAGTTTCCGTTTACAGACGATTAGCCAGTTTCATCAGGTAACCAGGTTTTTAGTTTTCCTAAAAAAGGCCATTCATTTGACTGCAGTTATTGCTTTTGAAGCCTGAACTTTTGACAAAAACTTGAAGTTGGCAATTCATTTAGATCGCCGAAAACATCTTAGATTTTTGAAATCTTGAAATGCAGTAAAAGCCTAGGTGACCTCAGATATTACACAGAATTGCGCCAATAAATAGACCAAAAATTACATTTTTTTGCCTAGCTTGTTGCTTATTAATTTGACGCGGAAGCTAGAAATAATTTTGTATGAATCGCTTAATCACACGTATTCTCGGAATCCACACCGGTGTGGATAGACTGTATGTGGGAACATCCTGCGCAGTCCAGTTAACGTACGTTGAACATTTGAATGTAGAAAAGTTGTTTTAAAAATAGAACTGTCACCTTAGTCACTTAGAAATTTTGCAGTTACATGGGCTTTAGTTGCAATTTATGCACACACCCCATGTTGTGGAATAAACAAAATGACCGCAACCATCAACTATTTTGATATACGGTGAAGCCATCAACTACGAACTTCCGCTCTGTCTGTGCCACAAATCTGTCAGCGCAAGTTGCGCCCCAGCCAACGGAAGCTACCCAAAATTACCTATTTTTTGTTTCGTTGCTAAACGTAGCAATGTCCATTAAGGTCAAATTTCCGTTTCAAAATTTCAGAGGCACTTTCGACTTCTTCCGCAAAATGAGGGTGCCAAGAGTAACTGTTTCAGATGAAGGAAATAATTCCAGCTAAACACGAGGTCTTGATATGTATCAACGTGTTGATTGCATAGCGCCTGTCCCAGGATTTGGAGTATTAGAATTGATCGTGTGTGTTCAGGGTCGTGTATTAAATACGTAGCTAGATAGCTTACCAATCAAAAGTTTTGTTCATGACACTGAAAGCCGGGAAGGGGACATATATGCTACTTGTCTTGATATTTTGCCCTTCTTGTGTTTTGTGCAGATCGGATGTTGACCTGTCAGTCAGGGGCGCCAGTCATTTCATGCTAACGTGTACTTGTTTTCCGGCAATCCCGAAGGCTGTAAAATTTGCTTTTGGTGTAGGTTAAGCCGATACGGATGAGCCATGACGAATACATGATAGGCGCGTCGTAGGTCACGGATACTTCTAGTGGAGAAGCCTCACACTTGGTCATATGGCGTGATATACGTGTGCAGTTTTTCTTCTATCGTGTAAATAAGTTTTCATGGCCAGTGGCAATAAACGCAAAAAAGCGTTACCATTAATTATTTTTGAAAACAGTCAACCTACAAAAGCCATTAATTGTCATCGAGTTGGGAGCCAAGAATACAACATAGAATAACCAATTTCTACAAAAGCGAAGTCCAATTTCAATCCAATTCTTTGGTTCGTTCGACCTTATATCCACTGGTTACGTTTTTGCTGTGGGAGTTTGAAACGCATCTCTTGGGAGGTTTCGAAAGCATAGATAATTTTGTCGGCCTTGTTCTTTTGCCAAGCAGATTAACAGGGATCATTGTGATAAAAGTGTCCGAGAGTTAACGAAATGATGAAAAGCAAAGGGGACTATCTTGTTTCAAATGATAACTTTTTGATGGTATCATATGGTATCATTAAACCGACGCGCTAGCATTAAATTCACTTGTCCAATTTCATGGTTCCCAGCAGATTTCGGATTCGAAATCCTCGAACGAACCATGGAACTTCCGCCGTCAAAAGAAAGGAAGTTTATTTAAGGAAACAGAAAGTTTTCCGACTTAAGAAATGTTTTCTCTAAGTCGGATGCGTGATCGCCAAATGGTAGCGTTTTTTAGAACGATACTGACAGTCGTTCCAACAAAATTTTTACTTGGTGTGTAATGTTGTGGCCATCTATGCCCAAAATTGGACTTGCATTCTTGAACAGTGCACAATACCATATAAACCTAGTCGTTTCCCTCAGCATTCCGTGGGCGTCCATCGGCAGATTATGAAACGATTAAAAACATTCAACTTGTTCTGGAAGCGCGCACGTGCTTCTTTTGGACGATGACTTTTCCAGTGCAGCGATAATGTAGCAATCAACCATGTTCAATATGTTTGCAGCCACCTGGCTTTTGTTTGTCCGTGAAATACTCTAAAGTAGGCAGTCTTTTGTTGAGTCATAGAGTGCTACAGAAACGTACTCAAAACCCTCTCCCAACCGGCGAACGCAAGTCATCAGAAAGGGACACTGGCAAACCCTCCATGGCCTTGGTTAAATACGTGAATTTGTGGTCAAATGTAGAGTTTTGCTCTGTGCATCTGAAAAGAATATTGTAGGTTACATTGCGGTAGCGGCCAAAACAGTCTCACCTCCCCTGTAACCAGCAGCTGTGCTCCATCGATCGCATGTAGATACTACTCGAGGGGAAGCCTGTGGGTCACCCATAAACAAAGGTTCGGCAGTGAGCCAACTTTTAGGCCAGAACGGTTGCGAAACCAGACTCTGTTTAGCAAAGGAAAACACGCCAACAAAAGAGCGTCTGTCGGTACGATTGCGGCTCACGGACATTCAGATTAACTTTTAACGTTCCCCGAGGCAAGCGTGATTGTCGGATGAAAAGCGAACACGTGCAAAACTCGTTAACTATTCGGTAGTGCTCACTTCACCAGTCATCTTGCGCTTATTGTTGTTTGTTATGAGGGACAGTTTCTTTGCTATTATCCTTATTCTGCTTTTCAAGTTGGAATTTTTTTTGCGATGAACTTAGCGTGACAGGCACTTACTACTTTCAACTGGCTTCCGTCCAATGTTTTGCTAACGTTTGTACATACTGCTTTAAATCTTCAGCAGTATAGTTCCATGTACGATCAGGACTAATCTAACAAATGTCGTGTATTAAATACGTAGCTAGATAGCTTACCAATCAAAAGTTTTGTTCATGACACTGAAAGCCGGGAAGGGGACATATATGCTACTTGTCTTGATATTTTGCCCTTCTTGTGTTTTGTGCAGATCGGATGTTGACCTGTCAGTCAGGGGCGCCAGTCATTTCATGCTAACGTGTACTTGTTTTCCGGCAATCCCGAAGGCTGTAAAATTTGCTTTTGGTGTAGGTTAAGCCGATACGGATGAGCCATGACGAATACATGATAGGCGCGTCGTAGGTCACGGATACTTCTAGTGGAGAAGCCTCACACTTGGTCATATGGCGTGATATACGTGTGCAGTTTTTCTTCTATCGTGTAAATAAGTTTTCATGGCCAGTGGCAATAAACGCAAAAAAGCGTTACCATTAATTATTTTTGAAAACAGTCAACCTACAAAAGCCATTAATTGTCATCGAGTTGGGAGCCAAGAAACATACATAGAATAACCAATTTCTACAAAAGCGAAGTCCAATTTCAATCCAATTCTTTGGTTCGTTCGACCTTATATCCACTGGGTTTTTGCTGCCTACAAAAGCCATTAATTGTCATCGAGTTGGGAGCCAAGAATACAACATAGAATAACCAATTTCTACAAAAGCGAAGTCCAATTTCAATCCAATTCTTTGGTTCGTTCGACCTTATATCCACTGGTTACGTTTTTGCTGTGGGAGTTTGAAACGCATCTCTTGGGAGGTTTCGAAAGCATAGATAATTTTGTCGGCCTTGTTCTTTTGCCAAGCAGATTAACAGGGATCATTGTGATAAAAGTGTCCGAGAGTTAACGAAATGATGAAAAGCAAAGGGGACTATCTTGTTTCAAATGATAACTTTTTGATGGTATCATATGGTATCATTAAACCGACGCGCTAGCATTAAATTCACTTGTCCAATTTCATGGTTCCCAGCAGATTTCGGATTCGAAATCCTCGAACGAACCATGGAACTTCCGCCGTCAAAAGAAAGGAAGTTTATTTAAGGAAACAGAAAGTTTTCCGACTTAAGAAATGTTTTCTCTAAGTCGGATGCGTGATCGCCAAATGGTAGCGTTTTTTAGAACGATACTGACAGTCGTTCCAACAAAATTTTTACTTGGTGTGTAATGTTGTGGCCATCTATGCCCAAAATTGGACTTGCATTCTTGAACAGTGCACAATACCATATAAACCTAGTCGTTTCCCTCAGCATTCCGTGGGCGTCCATCGGCAGATTATGAAACGATTAAAAACATTCAACTTGTTCTGGAAGCGCGCACGTGCTTCTTTTGGACGATGACTTTTCCAGTGCAGCGATAATGTAGCAATCAACCATGTTCAATATGTTTGCAGCCACCTGGCTTTTGTTTGTCCGTGAAATACTCTAAAGTAGGCAGTCTTTTGTTGAGTCATAGAGTGCTACAGAAACGTACTCAAAACCCTCTCCCAACCGGCGAACGCAAGTCATCAGAAAGGGACACTGGCAAACCCTCCATGGCCTTGGTTAAATACGTGAATTTGTGGTCAAATGTAGAGTTTTGCTCTGTGCATCTGAAAAGAATATTGTAGGTTACATTGCGGTAGCGGCCAAAACAGTCTCACCTCCCCTGTAACCAGCAGCTGTGCTCCATCGATCGCATGTAGATACTACTCGAGGGGAAGCCTGTGGGTCACCCATAAACAAAGGTTCGGCAGTGAGCCAACTTTTAGGCCAGAACGGTTGCGAAACCAGACTCTGTTTAGCAAAGGAAAACACGCCAACAAAAGAGCGTCTGTCGGTACGATTGCGGCTCACGGACATTCAGATTAACTTTTAACGTTCCCCGAGGCAAGCGTGATTGTCGGATGAAAAGCGAACACGTGCAAAACTCGTTAACTATTCGGTAGTGCTCACTTCACCAGTCATCTTGCGCTTATTGTTGTTTGTTATGAGGGACAGTTTCTTTGCTATTATCCTTATTCTGCTTTTCAAGTTGGAATTTTTTTTGCGATGAACTTAGCGTGACAGGCACTTACTACTTTCAACTGGCTTCCGTCCAATGTTTTGCTAACGTTTGTACATACTGCTTTAAATCTTCAGCAGTATAGTTCCATGTATGATCAGGACTAATCTAACAAATATTTTGAAGACCCCATAGACGACCCCATAGATAGTGTAATATTGTGGAAGGCATCGGTTGCTCCCATAATTTGCGCAGATTATTTGTGAAGATGATACATCTGCCATTTTGCACCGATTGTTACACTGCGTCTAGGAAGCTTCAAAAATGGATTAAAGGTAATGAGTAAAGTAAAGGAGAAGGGAATCTCTTCAGAGGGAACGAGTGCGCAGGTAAGAATTGCACGCTTTCAGTTGGACACAGCATCGTGTCAAGGGATCGAGCTGGTACGAAGGGTATCCAAGGAACACCTAAAATGGAAGGCTGAGTTTGACCGCAGACGTGTCTTAAACGGTGTGCTCACGAACAGTTGGGCCACTGCCTTGATTATTATGCATAACTCGGTGCTACAGCAATAAACCCGAGATGAACAGGGGGTCAGATGTTCTGAATTTCTTCAACAGCTATATTTTCGCACACCTAAGTTCTTTGTCTCTTAACATCCAATCACCAGTTTCGAAATCACAATCCTAAATGAACCACCTTTCCGTTGAAAATAGTATTCCATTTCACGTGGCAAGCTTTCGGACTGCATTTGCCGCGTTTATTCATCATTCACTTCATTATTATCATTTACTTCTTGGAAAATGTTGTCGGCGCTTTTTGCCGAAGATTTAATAACCTGCGGTCATTTCTTTCTTTAAATCACCTGGCCAAAACGATTAAAGCTTTGTAATTGGTGTGCGCCAAAACGACGAGAGAAAAATATTAGTGCTTGTCAAAATAATTTCGCAAAATTTGCACGCGAAGAAGTAACCCTCGATACCAGTTTATGAGTGCAATTTCCGGTTTACAGTGAGTCTACTCGATGTGAACAAGCAGGTAGGAATATTCTGAATTATAAAATGACAAACGTTACCCAGACGACGCACCGCTTCTCCAAGTGAATGCATTTCGCGGTTAATTCAAGGAAGAATGGTTGGCCAAACAACGACAGCACATTTACCCGAAGGGAGTCAAAAGACCACACGATGATTCGGACGGAGATGTAAATACCAGAGTGTGTAGTGGTAATATCTGCGGGGGCTACTCTCTGCCTAAATCTGCTAAATGATCATCCGGTTCACATTCAGCTGCTGTATATATAAATGAATAAATGTTGAATTTTGTCGAAGGCTGATTTGATTTCTGGGAGAATACCAGGTGACATTCGCGAAAGACGTCCAGGTGGAACGCGAGCTCTACGGACGTATAAGACCACAGGTATTTTGTTACTATCGACATTGACGTTACCGCCATTTACGGAATTAGGCGATACGTTGGATGGCGCCTAATGTCTCGGCTACATGCATATACGTATGAACAGACGACGAAAGATCGGATTTTGTCAAAAATACTGATTAACCGCCACAGCGAGTAAAATTGAAAAACCTGAGCCCGTCCTCCCCCACACCTGAGCAATTGGACGGCAATCAAAGTAAGGAAAGGTACTAGTCAGTTAAGAAAAACAAGATTTCTCAAACGATTTTAAGATGATGCTAATCATAGCATGCCCGATCATGTGTTAGCATTGAAGCGGTTTCAGACTGTCACGCCTTCTATTGTCTTGGTGTTCTACCCGGATTGATGGCTTATATTTTAACTTTCATTATGGCCTCGTACGTGGTGCACGGAACATACGTCTCAACTGTTGCTTTTAACAAAGCGGGGACAGTGAATACATCGCAGATCATTGTGTCTAAGCGGCATAGTTGATTTCCCATGCCCTGCTTGCCGAAACTATGAACTAGGGTGAAAAAAATCAAACGCTGCTGGTGCCCTGTTTAAGCTTACGTTGAGCTAATGGTAGACGTAAGGAAAACGAAAAAAAGTTGACTCAACCAGGGTAGGGTCTTTTGTCATCTGTTTGGCGAAATTAGGCTCACTTTTTTCCTTATAACTGCTCTATCCTTAGATTGTTATGGTTGAAGTTTTGTTTGCGCACCACATGACTAAAAGCTCTGTTGGGGCCAAATGAAATTACACGCACGTGGTTTGTTGAGGTTAACCGACTACAAGAACATGGGCAGGTGACAAGTTCATGGAAACTAATATACAATCGTGTGCATAAACCTATGGGCAGCCCAATGAACAACATTATTTCCGTAATCCTCGATTAGAAGAGATTAGAGGAATACTTTCCGCGCTATTCACGATCAGTCCCCGTAAATTTTTACTTACAGCAGCAGAACACAACAATCATATAAAGGTGAACACGTCTTCAGCGTTTTTCTTTTGTACTTATTCGTGGAAGGCCTCTTGGCAAGGGGGTTCCGAAATACGATCATTCTTGGGCGGGAACCAATAGCTAGCTTGTTGCATAGGTGTTTTGTTGCACACTACATTGTCATAAATAAACTTCCTAACATCTGCGCAGCCAAATCACGTTATTTCCCCACAAATATCTTATTTCCAGGTACAAGTATCATTACCTATTTTGCCTGAAAGCATTTGTTAAAGACCACAGAAGCTTTTTTGTCCAGAGGAAGCCTTGTTTCTTTCATCCTAACAGAGCTACGGGGAGCTCCAGTAGACGCATTCGTTGGAGCTTTACAATCACTGCCAGTTCTCAGTCTATATGTTATGTATCGGAAAATCAAATGAACCACGTTGTCCGAACTCCAGAATTTTTTGCAGATATGGGGCTTGGAACCTTTCCTAATTTTGCGGCAAAAAGCACAGTATGGCTTAAAGATGGAACACTGAGGAAGTCAGTTTCCACATGCATATTATTTTCCTCGAATTTCTACGCAAAATTGCAATGACGTGGTGGATGTGTAATGAAAATAATTAAAATCTGACAAGCGTTCAATTTTTTTTTCGGGAAAACTTATTAGAAATAAGTGAATAAGTTGCCGGAAATGTTGCTGATGTGCAGCGGTCGTTCCACACTGAATTCACAGCAACCGACTGTTTACAATTATAACTATGAAAATGTCTGTTGCGATGGCTGCTAATGCTGGAGGACTTTCATGAGTGGCTGCCGCGCTTGCTCTGAACGCTTTTGTAGTTTAATACTACTTGCATCTATCCTCTGTACTTTGAATGATTTCAAACAGAATAATGCGGGGATGAACAACACGACGATGTTAAGTTGTGAATAGTGAACCGCGTATGCAGAAACCTTGAAGCAGGCGAGCATTATAAGCTAAATTTCTTTTATCAAAATTATCGTCTGAACTATATATTGTTTTGAGGAAAATTTTAAATATCTGTATTCAGGTTAAACATTAGAGCATGTATATCATAGTGCTACCAGGAAACCAATGCTGAGCAATTTAGGCCAAAAAAATTCAATAATATCACCCATAACTACGTGTGGAACATTGTTTCTAACAAAGTTGCATTTGTAACCAGGCTTTGTGCGGTTTTTGTGCGAGCATTTTTTGAGGTTAGATCAATAGCCCAATTTTCTGTGGTAGCGTACCTGCAGTTCACGTTTGAATTCTAAGGGTGTCGGGCCAATATGGAGCATTACAGTTTTTCAGTAAATTGTTTATGCTCACCGTGTGTAATTGTTCCACAGGTAAGTTTGCTATTGATAAAATACCTGCGGAAAAATATTACATAGGCAGTAGGGTTAGAAACAAGAGAGATTTCTTAATTCCACTGGTATATATATGAAGTTGAAAAAAAATCGTTTTATTTCTGATGCCTGAGTCGTTAGTAAAACAACTGTTTCTCGTTCCACGCATACGTGCCGAAGAGCGACTACATCTCTGTTTTGGTACGTCCTGCCCTTCGTTTTTATTTTATCAGCACCATAATGCACACGAAAGATTAGCTGTAGCCAGATAGATTGCCGCTAGCTGAGCCATTTCATTCGCTGGTAAATAAGCGAACCAAAGCTGGCAGTGCGCAGGTCCACCTTGGCGGGAACAGCTTTTTCGAATTGTTCTTGAAAAAAGGCGATTGTGAAAAGCCCAGAAAGCGGAAAATAGGGAATTTGGTTGAATCAAGTTATCATATACTATATGTATCATATATATCATGTGTATATTATATATACAAATGGGTATCAAAATGCAGACAAGATTTTTTATTCCAACAGGGGACAGTTAAGACGCGTCTCGGCGAAGTACTTTGCTTATAATTTGTTTCCGTTTACTGTAGCATTCAGCATTAAACCGCGTGAAATACAGAAATTATGTAAGAAATTTATGGCGGTTCATTCATAAAAACGCACAAAGATTTTATCATAAATCTATAGATGTGTGCCCCTTCACGTAATTATTCCTGGCCGTTTAGAGCAAACCAATGGTAGTCTTCTGGATCGTCTTGTTGCAGCGTGCCTAAAATACAGAGGAGACAAAGTTTGGTGTCTTGCAGCTACGTGCAAGGACGCAAGAATATCGCTGATGGTTTCGGCAAATTTGCTGCCCCTAATTTTGATTAATTTGTACCACTAATATGACACTGGACACTACTGGTGAGACATGCAAGTAGTATGTATTTTGTTCACCACACTGCTTGATCTAATGGAACGGAGGAACCAGATAGATTGCCGCTAGCTGAGCCATTTCATTCGCTGGTAAATAAGCGAACCAAAGCTGGCAGTGCGCAGGTCCACCTTGGCGGGAACAGCTTTTTCGAATTGTTCTTGAAAAAAGGCGATTGTGAAAAGCCCAGAAAGCGGAAAATAGGGAATTTGGTTGAATCAAGT